CCCCCACCCCCCGTCACTGGCTCTGAGTATGTGTATCTTTGTGTCTTTCTCTTCCTCTATCTCCCTCACCCTCCATTTGGGCCAGGGAGACTCTGACCACTTTGCTGAGGGACCCCATGAACCCCTTCTCTGCCCCTCACCCTGTGACCAGGGCCACCGGGCAGAAAGGGGCGGGGATCCAGTCTAGGCCCCCCACACGTGCCTTACACAGCCTGCCTGGCACAGCCAGGCATGGGTGAGATTTGGGCAGGGCCACCTGTCAATGGGGAAAGAGGCCAAGAGGCCAGGCTAGGGGGTGGGTGGCTCCCGGCCTCTTGGGAAATGGGGCACTGGGTAGGGAACCCAAAAGGTGTCTCCTCGCTCCCCGGTTCCTGGGCCACCCAGGGCTGCCTCTTCTGACCTCTTATGCATTCAAGCTCTTCTTTCTGTCTGCCCCCAGCTCTATGCATCCATCTCTAACTGTGTCTCCAAGTCTCTGTCTCCGCTAGGATATAAGAGCCAAAGACTCATTTGACACCTACTTACTGAGCATCTACAGTGTGCCAGACTCAGATATGTCTCTGAAGAAAAAGAGACAAACATGCCCGGAGATGCTGCCTTTGCAGAGCTCACATTCCTTGAGGGCAAAAACAAAGATGTCTTGTTCACTTCTGTAAGCCAGCACCTGTTAAATGGGAGGTTTTAGAGCTCTGAGGCTCGTTTCAGTGTATAGGGAAAAACATTTAAAAACATAAAATTCTGAGGTTTGAATATTTCATGCATTAAAGTGACAAATCCAGCAGCCCACTTCTTTTAAGCCTACAGTCTTTTAAGTTTAGCTTATAAACCTTTTAATTCCAAATATGTGCTTTGATGACAGGAAGCGTTTTACTGTTGGTTTTTGTTTTCGTTTTGCATTTTAATTTTTTTAATTAAAGTATAGTTGATTTACAAAGTTGTGTTAATTTCTGCTGTACAGCAAATCGTACCAATGTTTTCTTTTTTTCTTTTCATAAGGATATGGCTGAGTCTTTTTTTGTAATTTATTTATTTTCGGCTGCACTGGGTCTTCGTTGCTGCGCGCAGGCATTCTCTGGTTTTGGTGAGCGGAGGCTACTCTTCATTGCGGTGCGCGGCCTTCTCATTGCGGTGGCTTCTCTTGCTGTGGAGCATGCGGGTTTCAGTAGCTGTGGCACGTGGGCTCAGTAGTTGTGGCTTGCGGGCTCTAGAGCACAGGCTCAGTAGTTGTGGCACATGGGCTTAGTTGCTCCGCGGCGTGTGGGATCTTCCCAGACCAGGGCTCAAACCTGTGTCCCCTGCGCTGGCGGGTGGATTCTTAGCCACTGAGCTACCGGGGAAGCCCCCAGTGTTTTCTTAGGTCAGTCTCCCAAGGCAGTAGAAATAAAAACAAAAATAAACAAATGGGACCTAATCAAACTTAAAAACTTTTGCACAGCAAATGAGGTAAGTCTTTATAATAATGTTGGGCCCCATTAACAAACTAAGTTGATTAAATATCTTCAAACATTTAAAAACTACATTTCTAAAACCAACACACTCCATCTCTTCTGGAAGTCCTTCAGTTTTTAGGCAAAGCTTCCAGAGCACGTAAATAAATTTATACATCTATGTATATTTTACTTATAAATATGATCAACTGGGACTTCGCTGGTCGTCCAGTGGTTAAGACTCTGCACTCCCAATGCAGGGGGCCTGGGTTCCATCTCTGGTCAGCGAACTAGATCCTACATGCTGCAATCAAGAGCCTGCATGCTGCAGCTAAAGATCCTGCGTGCCGCAACTAAGATCCTGCGTGCCGCAACTAAGATCCTGCATGCCGCAACTAAGACCCGGCACAGCCAAATAAATAAGTATATAAATAAATAAATAAATAAATAAATAAATAAATAAATATTAAAAAAAATATGATCAACATTGCATTCTTTCAAGTATCTCAACACTGAGTATAAACTTGGGATGACTCTAACTTAACAATCACAGAGCAATGACCCGTTCCAAGTTGAAGTCAGAAGACTCTCCCCGCAGTAGATAAAATTCTAGTAGACATACAAACACCTTCAATACCAAACGTGCAGAGATTCTGCTTCCAACAATATTCATGTTAAGGGTTGGGCCTTCAAACATTTCTATGCTCATTAAGAAAACATATCAGAATTGGGAGAAGATGTTAGCAGAGCAGTTAGGAGCCCAAACTCTGGCACCAGCCCCCCTGGCATTCAATTATGACTCGACCACCTACTGTCTTCGAGACTTTGGGCAAACCATGCTACCTCTCTGTTTGTTATGATTGTTAGTATCCATTAAGGAAGATGATTTCCTCTCAGTTAACGGAAGTTGATTTTGGTCTGGACGTTCATTGATTGGCTTTCTTCCTGGTGATCCCAGTGAATTTCATGCCCCTATTTATTCTTCATAACTTCTAAAAGGGGTTGGTCAAGGTGGGCCCGGGCCATCACGTGACTTAATATTTTCATGTACTCATAAAAAGTCAATTACTCCCTCCCATCGCAAAAATTTCACCTTTGGTACATTTCACCTTGATAAAATTTCACCTTTCTTTGGTTCTTGAGACGTCTAAGTGTGCTTTTTCTCACATCTAAAGATCTTTAGACTCGAGAGACACTGTTCTTCTCATATACTGCCTCTGTCTTTGGACCACATAGCTCTTCTATCATAAAATGACACATGACTGACTTTGAATATCTCCTATGGTGTGGGCGCTCTGTGTAACAATTTCCAGCTTCATTCTCCTCTATGCTGGGCAAAAATAAGTTTGCGATAAATGTTTGTGAAGCAAGTGGACCGTTGTGTCTGATTCTCCCTCTGTTCCTAAATATTTCTCTGCTCGAAACTGCAGCTCCCACGTTGCACCGTCTGTTCCCTCTCTCTGGGGAGCCACTTACTGTCCCATGCGTCTTCCTGGGAGGATGCCTGGCTTAGATGTCGTTTTGTCTTTCTTGGAGATGGTGCAGTGGGGGTCAAGAGAGGAAGGCCTCTCTGAGGACAGGGACAGACCTGGGGGCTTGGGGATAGGGGTGCATGCGTCAGTGTGGGATCACGCGCGGTGCATGTGGGTGGAAGAACCCCAGAAAGCATGTTAGAAGCCCGGGTCCTCACCCAGTTCTGCCTGTCTGCCCCCCTCATTTCAGGGAGGGCCTCCAGTCTCTACACCTCCCTGCCCATCCCCCTCTCCTCAAATGGACTGCAATGAGATCTTTCAAATACCCACACCTGACCCTGTCCTTCCTTTTCTCAAGGGCCTCAGGATCAAGGTCAAGTACTCCTGCCTTGTACTCAGGGCCCAACGCCATCTTCCAGTGACCTACTTTCCCAGCCATGTCACCTATTTCTCTGGCCTCAAACCCCAGCCCCCACCAACCTGGATGATTTACCATCTCTGGAACACAGCAGATGTTCTCACACTCCCAGACTTTTCTACAGGTCATTAGCATCTTGAGTCTGCCACCCACCCAAACTTCTCCACACGGCGAGCTCATGTTCAGCCTCCCTCTCCGGCTGTCCCAGCCCCAGCCCCTGCTCAGCCCTCATCTTCTCTCCCTGCACCATCACGTCTACTGCCCCCTGGCCTCTGGTCTCTTCTTTCTGGTCCATCCTGGGGCACATGGCCCCAGAGTTTCTTCTGCTCTCATCCCTTCCGTGGCTCCCCACTGCTCTCAGGACAAGCCCTAGCCTCTCAACCTGGGGTCCGTGGTCTTTGGGGATGTGGCCCCTGCTCTCTGTATCTCCCATCACTCTTACCCACACACAGTGGCCTCCCGGCCCTCTCACCTCCCCGCATTTGCTGCTGCAAGGGGAGTTTAGTGGAGAAAGCCACCCCTCAGGGCTAGTTAGGCAGAGGAGGCAAGGATGTCTTCCCAGGGAGGAGAAAAATCAAGTTGGGCTGTGGAAGGGAACTAAGGATATCTGGGCTTCAGAGAGGCAGAGGTGGGATAAAAGCGAAAAGTACCACTAATAATAAAATTCACTTTTTATTGTTCACACGGGTTTGCCAGGCACTGCTGTACGTGTTTCACATGTTTACAGCCTTGAATCTCCCCCAACAACATAGCCACCGCCTGATGAGGGATATACGATTATTATCCTTATTTTAGAGATGAGAAAATCTACACACTGAAGGAAGGCACTTCCCGCGGTTGCACGGCTAAGCAAGTGGGGGAGCTGGGAGCCCAACTCAGGTCTGGCCAGACTTGGGACCACTTCTCTGTAGGAAGAAGTCGAGCCCATGGAATAATTGGGGAGGGAGAGATGCTTGGAAGGGATTTTCCTGTATTCTCTTAGTGGCAGGGTTGAGACCTTAGCTGGTGTTCCCATCACTCCTAGTGATGCAAGAATGGGGCTGGGGTAAAATCAATGAGGATTTGTGCTGTGGTGTCATCACTTTTACTGAGCATTAAGGGTCGGGTCTGGGCAGGTGGGGGAAAGGTCAAGAAATGGAGGTCACATATCAGGATCAGTTGGCCTGAATGGTTTTTCGGATCCAGTGGCCATATCTGCAGACGTCGGTGTAGACGCCTGGCTTCTCCTTGGATCCGCAGGGGATGTTACCCCATGACACAAGGCCTCGGAGACGGTCGCCACACACCAACGGACCCCCAGAATCACCCTGTGGTTAAAGAGGGAGAGAGTCAGATACAGACTCGCAGAGAAGGAAAGACAGACAGAAGGGGACACAGAGACATGTAGAGATGGGGAAAGACACTCAGAGATGGAGAGAAAGACGCACATACAGAGAGAGAGAGACAGACAGACACAAAGTCACAGATAGGGTAATAGAAGGGACTGAGGGAGACTCAGAAACACAGAGATCTCTAAAGAGAGGACAGATGGTCTCAGAAATGGGGCTCATCTGCCTGCCCTTTCTTTGCATCCAACTCACTGTGTATCACTTTTCTCTATCTTTGTCTCTTTCTCCCACTTGGCTGGTCTCTGCAGGTCCTTCAATGCACAGGGCTCAGTTTTGGCATCAAAAGGAGAAATCCACTGGACGATGGTGAAAGAAACCCAAGTTCAAAGTATCTGGGAGTCGGGATGGAGCCCCTTCTCTCCCCAGCTATGGTCCCCCTTCTGCACAGTGTGGCTATTTCCAAGCAGAACTTGTGGGGATTCTGTTGGAGCAGGGACAGTCTCCTGGCACCATCTGCCTCCCTACTGTGTCTCTGTGGTTCTCGATCTCTTCATCTCCATCCTTGTCTCTGCATTTCCTGTCTCTGCTGACTGGCTTTTTATCTCTGCCTGTCCCTGGCTGTGTTTCTGTGTATCAAATTAAGTCTCTCTCCCTTATCATGCCTCCGATTTTCACCCAGCCTGTCTCTGTAAAGCTCTAGTTTGGTCTGTGTATCTGTCTCTTCCCGCCCATCTCTGTCCTTGGCTATGTAACTGGTGGGCCCTGGCGTCCTCACCTGGCAGGAGTCCTTCCCGTGCTTCTCATCCCCGGCACACACCATGTTTTGGGTGATCTGGCCAGGGTAGGCACGGTCACACTCCTCGCGGGGCACCAGGTGGAGGTATGCACACTGGATGATGTTAGGGAAATCACCTGCAAAGAGAGATGGGCCAGGGTCACTTCACGAGCCACCCTTCCCACTGATCCTCCAACACCTATAAATCCTCCCTCCCCTACTGGACCCTATTTCCCAATGGTTCCCTTTTTCCTATTTGTCGCTCATTCTCAAAACCCACTTCCGTTGCCTGACTCCTGATTGGTCCCCCTTTCCATCAGTCTTCCCTCACATTGGCCTGTCTTCCTCACTAATTATCCCTCCTCTACCAGTTCTCATTTCCTATTGGTTTTTCCTTCTCTTAGTTCCTGCCTTCACTTGTCTCTCTTCCATTGGTCCCACCTTCTTCAGTAGTCCAGCTGACCTCTAGACCCTCTTCCTCTATTAGTCCCCCCTCTGTTATAGCCCAGCCTCCTTCATTGGACCCTTCTTGCCCCTTGGCTCATCCTGATTGGTCACCGTTAACCCACCTCCCCATGACCCATCACCCATCGATCATGGGTCACCTGCATCATTCTCCCCCTACTGACCATCTGCCATCTTGCCCCAGCCTAGGATGTGGCAGCTGGTGTGGTTGGCTGAGCAGTCTCTTTCCAGGGACAGGGGCTGTATGTGCGCAGAGAATTTGGCTGGACGTGACAGGCGCAACAGCATGATGTCCTGGTCATGGACGGCGGCGCTGTAGCCAGGGTGGACCACAGTCCGGACAACAGAGCCCTCCTCCTGGAAGCTCTCCCTTTGCTGAAGGTTGTGCTTCCCCAGGTAGACCTGAAGATTCCTGGGAAAGAGAAGGGCTGGCTCTCACCTGGAGCCCTTGGGCTGCAGCTGAGACTCCCGAGGGGGCTACGGTGCGGGGGGGGGGGGGGTAACCTGGTACACCATGAACCATCCGGTTTTCTCCCCTCACAGTCTTTCCAGCTCAGTAAATGACAACTCCATCCTTCCAGAATAACCCGGAGACTATCCTTGACTCTTTATTTCTTGACTCACCTCCCGGCTGTCCGGAAATCCTTTTGTCTCTCCAAAGAATATCCGGAATCTGACCGCTTCTCACCTCTCCCACTGCTGCCATCTTGGTCTGAGGCACCATAATCTCGTACCTGGGCTACAGTTAGTCTCACTGGACTCCTGGCTTCTACTTTTGCCCCTCTATAGTCTGTCCTCCACAAAGCAGCCAGAGCTATTTTAACAATATAAGCCAGCTTTGACCCTCCTGTGCTCAGAACCCTCCTGCGACTCCCATCTTGCTCAGAATAAAGGCCGAAGTTCTCACTGTGGCCTACAAGGTTCTGCACAATCCGTCCCCATCACTTGTCAGTCATCTCCCACTCTCCCCCTTCTCCCTCTGTTCCAGCCACACCGGCTTCCCTGCCTTTCCTTGAACACAATAGTCATCCTCTCGCCCCAGGGCCTTTGCACTGGCTGTTCTCTCTGCCAGCAGCTCTTCCCCCCAGATATCTGCATGCCTCACTCCCTCACCTCCTTCAAATGTCACCTTCTCAGCGAGGCCTTCCCTGAAGACCCGATTAAAATGCAAGTATCCACCCCAACAGGCAAGTCCTAGCTCCCTCTCCTGATTTCCTGTCCACCAGAGAACCTAACATCACCACCTGACACACTACATATGTATTGTTAAATATTTACTTGTTTTACTCTCTCTCCCTCTGCCGCAGCCATGCTATTCGATAGAAGTTTCTGTAAGGATGGAAATATTCTCTGTCTGCACTGTTTGAAACAGTGACCACTGACCACAGGCAGCCTCTGAGCCCTTGAAGTGTGGCTAGTGGATTTGGAAATTCGTTTCGTTTTTATTAATGTCAATTTAATTGGCCGTATGTCGCTAATGGCTACTGCATTAGATGGCACAACTCTAGAATATCAAGATGGGATTTTTGTTTTAGTCAGATACATCCTCCTTGGTGCCTAGACCAGTGTCTGGCATATGATAGGTGTTCAATAAATATTTGTGAAACGGATCAAAGCATTACTCCCTTGCTCAGAAACTTTCCATAGCTCCCCATTACCCTCAGAATAAAGCCCAAGTGCCTTATCCCACTATCCCCTGACACTCAGTGAACCAGTAGCTTTCTTTTCTTAGAACTCTTCAGATAGTTTCCACTTCTTTTGTCCTTGCGTTTCCTCTGCCCTGGATGCTCCGTCCCCTTTCGCATTTTCCATCCCTCAGTTTGAATTTCATCTCATCAGAAAGTCCTTCCTGACACCTTCCTCCATCGAAAGCAGGTACCTCTGTTCTTTTCTCTCATGGAGCCATCCCTGTCTGTTTGCCTTCATTGGACTTAGAGTAATTTGTAATTGTATGGTTTTTCGAGGATTCTAGAACTGTCTTCCTGCACCTTTCTGCTCCTGTGTTCCCGAGGACAGAGACTCTGTGTACCTCCCCGTCTCAGTCTTTGCTGAGTTCCCACTGCCCGGCTCAAATCTGGCTCTCGGTAGGTGCTGTTGATCAATGTGCGCTGAATGAATGAATGAGGATGGTGGGAGTGATGCCAGGTTTACCAGCGCTTGGGGGAGCCCACCCTGGGGGGTCCTTGTGTCCATGACCCTGCAAGGTGAGACCCCTGTTGGGGTCTCTCCCCGCTCCCACTGGGATATGGCGCCTGTTGGTTTGTCACTTGTTACTTCTCTGGGCTTCAGTTTCCTCAGAAGCAAAGAGTCCCTTATTGTGGGGGATTCCAGGAAAGGTATAGAAACTGCCTACCTGGGTACGTGGCCCATAGTTAGCGTTGAAAAAAATGGTGGTTGTTGTTCATCAAACTAGTGGTTATTGGTGCCCTGAGGGTTAGTCCTGGGTCCTCTATGGTCCTCTATCTATGCCCACTTTTTGGATGATCTCATCCCATCCGGTAGCTTCAGATACCACCTGTTTGTGGTATTTAAAGCCTTAATGTTTACCTCCATCTCTGACCTCTCCGCTGAGCGCCAGCAGTCAGCCTGGCATCCTTCTTGAACACCAGCCAGGTACCTGAGACTCAGCTTGGCTAAAACAAAATGTCTGATGCTCCCCCACCCATTCTCCCCCGAAAAAGAAAGACACATCCAAACCGCCTCAGAGAAAGACACATCCAAACCGCCAGCTGTTCAAGTCCCATCCCCGGAAGTCAGCCCTGCTTGTTCTCTGCCTCTCCCATTCCACACCACCAAGTCCTGCTGGCTCAGGCTCAGGACCCCTCCCCAGGCTTTCGACTTCCCTCCATCCCCAGGGCCACCATCCTGGTCCATCTCAGGACAATGGCAACAGCCTCCACATGCATCCCTTCATCCCCCGCCCAGTTCACTTTCCAGAGTGCTTTTAAAAGTGTAAATCAGATCGTGCTGTTTCCCTGATGAAAACTCTCTGTGGCTCCCCCGGCACTTAGAATTAAATCCATCGCTCGCTACAGGGCCCTGGAGAAGGCCAGTTCATCAAAGCAGCAGCTTTGCGACATCCCCAGGGCCCCAAACACTGCCTGACGCGCATTTAGTAATCAGTTAAATACTGGCCAGTTGAACCTGGTTATCAGATGGCCTCATGATGGGACAGGGGGATGTGTGGAGTCTGCAAGACGCCCGCGGGGTCTAATTGCAACCACTCCTCATTCACAGCGTGGACACTCACGGTTTTTTGCAGTGGGCAGCGGTGAGGACCCACAGTGGATGAATGAGGACCCCCCCACAGAGCAAGTGGCCTGAGGTGTAAAGGGCAGCTTGGTAGGGGTGGGACGTCTGCTCACAGGGTCCACCATGCAGCACCTTATTCTGTTCCTCTGTCTGGGCTGAGGGAGGGAGGGTCTGAGTCAGAGACAAGGTCTGGAGACATCAGGTACCTCCCCCAAGGTGAACTCCATTGCTGTCTTAATCATCAAGATCTCCATCCCCATGCCCCAAACCAACCCCATCCTCAAACTCCCCCTCAAACCCACCCCTGCATCTCAATCCCCATCCCCAGAGCCAAATCCAGCCCTAAGCGTTCTTATCTTTAAACCCACCTCCAACCAATTTCCCCATCTCCAGCCGCATCTCCCAAACCAAGCTCCTCAAACCCTTCCCCGCCTTCACGGCCACCTCCCACCCCTTCCCCATCTGCATCCCTCACCCTTGATTTAACCCCTGTGTCTTCCTCATTTGAAACCCACCCCCCTCCATCCTCACGTGTATCCCCATCCCGGTTCCAATCTCTTCCCCATCAACAACCCCCACCCCATGCCCAAACAGCCCCCTGCCCCTCCCTCTCTGGCCTACCTGCAGCGACCAGAATCAGTGTTACAATCAGCACCTTCATGGCCATTCCTGAGAGGGGGAAGCCAAATGCTCCATCAGTCCCGGCCTCAGGCTTCGCCCAGTCCCCTCCCTCTCCATCCGCCTCGCCTTCCCCTTCCTCCCTGCCCTGCCCTCCTGGCCCTTGACTTCTGTCTTCCCCATTTAGCCTCTTGATTTCTTGTCTCCATGTGTTCCATCTGAGGGTCCCACGGAGGCGGGTGCCAGAGAGGACCCGGAACCTGCTGCTCGGCGCACTTCACATTATTTTTCCATCCTCGGCTCTAGTTTGCCTGCTTAGTAACAGGAGGAGGGAGGGCCCCTGACATTCTTCCCTCTCCATGGGATTTCTCCTCCTCCCCTTGGCTCTGTGCTTACCTGTTGCTCAACCCCACACCTGTAGGTTCCGGTGGGAGGTGTGAGCTTACCTGCTGGGGGCCGGCTGCCTGGGGGTCGACTCTTGGGTTGGGGGCAGGGACAGTACGTGTCACAGGCAGACAGAAAGGGAGACAGACAGAGAGTCAGAAATGCAGGGAACCGCGGGGAGAGAAGTGATGCTGAAAACAGAGAGGACGCCTCAAGAGTCAGAGACGGAGGGCGGAAAGCAGAGAATGTATAGGGGCTGTGGCGCCCAGGGCCTGGCAGACAGACACCCTGAGCTCCCTGGCCCCCCCACTGGAAGAGGCTGGTCCTGTCCTCAGATGCTCCTGGCGTGTCCTTTTAATCTCTGCCTCCCCAGGTCCCAGAGGCAGGAGGGGGACCCGCCCTTTTCCTCCTCACCCAGGCCTCCCACGCATATTCCTCCCACCCTCCCGCAGCTCCCCGCCTCATGGTCCCCCTGACCCCGGCTTCCAGGGAGGGCAGTGCAGGTCCCTGAGTGCACTGGGGGCCCGGCTTCCCAGGTCTGAGGGAGGAGGGGGCTGGGGGCTGTGTATTCTGGACCTTCAAGGAGAAAGGAGCTGGGAGACTGCACACCTGGATCTAGAGGAAGGAAAGGCAGAAGCTTGTTCTCTTCGGTTCCTAGACTTCTAGGTCCTTAAGCAAGAAAGGATCTGAGGGGCTTCCCTGGTGGCGCAGTGGTTAAGGATCCGCCTGCCAATGCAGGGGACACGGGTTCGAGCCCTGCCCGGGGAAGATCCCACATGCCGCGGAGCAACTAAGCCCGTGCGCCACCACTACTGAGCCTGCGCTCTAGAGCCCGTGAGCCACAACTACTGAGCCTGCGCGCTGCAACTACTGAAGCCCGCGTGCCTAAAGCCCGTGCTCCACAACAGGAGAAGCCACCGCAGTAAGAAGCCCGCGCACCGCAAGGAAGAGTAACCCCCGCTTGCCGCAACTAGAGAAACCCCGCGGGCAGTAACAAAGACCCAGTGCAGCCAAAAAATAAATTAATTAAAATAAATTAATTAATTAAAAAAAGAAAGAAAGAAAGGAACTGAGGACCCAGACGCCTGCGTCCCGGGCAAACACAGAGAACCCCCTGTCCTCCTGGACTCCCACCTCTTCTGTGAGTGCTCCGGGGCCTGCAGGCTGTCACTCCTGGGTTCAGCACCCTTGGGTACCGGGAACCAGGCCCCACGGGTTCAGTGGGGTTGGGGTGACTCACGCACCTGCCTGTAAGTCCCTCTGTGGGTGCTGGAGAACCTCAGTGTCCTCGCGAGACACAGCAAAACCAGCCAGCAAGAAAGCGTGTGTCACCAAGCTGGTACCCGCCCCTGCCCCAGGCTGTGGTGCAGACCCAAGCACTGTGGGGAAAGGGCCTTCGAACAATCGGGCTTTGTCTGTCCCCAGCACCCAGTGCCATGCTCCTGTCAGCTCCATTTCTCAAGCTCTCTTCCGGCCAGGTGGACGGCCAGCTGCATCAATAGCTTCCCTTTATCTCTATCTGACAGTCCTGTTGCTGTCCTTTGAGTGTCCACCCACCTCTGCCCGGATATCAGGACTCTTGACTCGCCCGGCCCCCCTTCTCCAAGTCTCTTGGTGTCCAGCTCTCTCCCTGGCCGTGGCGGGGGGGGTGCCTCCGTGTCTGTCTCTGTTTGTGTCTCTCCACCCTTCTGCCTCTTTCTCCATATTTTTCTCTGTATCTCTGCCTTTCTCCTTGATTTTCCAAGTCTCCGTTAATACCCTCTAAATCTCTCCTTACCTCTCCTAGGTTCCACCTGCGTTTCCAGGAGAAGCATGTGTGTGCACAGAGGGGAGTTAGCTCCTGCGGAAGGGATGGCATGGGAGAGGGCAGCGGGGAAGCTGGCGGGACCCAGGAGGATTTCAGGACTTGTTGATGAGATTTAACGTGTACAGAGAGACACAGAAACGGGAATGCAGGAAAAGTGTGATGAGAAACGGGGGTCCAGGAAGCTATGGGGGGGGATCCAGGAAGATTTGAAGAGGTGTCTTTAAACTTGGGCGTTTTGCTCAGGAGGAGACAGGTAGTTAAAGGGTCTGGTGCATGCAGGGAAATGGCAGACTGGCATGAGCTGGAGGAATGGGTGTGTACGTGCGGCCGCCTGGAGGGAAATGGGTTGTGATAATCACAGGGACGGGCAAGATGGTGGAAAATGGAAGCTTTGGGGAAAGTCACTGAGCAAAATAAGTGCAACTGATATGAATAATGTCGACCTCAGCACCAGCTTGGGCCTGGCGCTGTGGGTAGCATTTAATTCTTGCATTAAATCTAATTGCTACCACCTTTGTTTGTCCCCTGTCACTCCTGGGATGAAAACCAATCTGGCATTTGATATATTCTCTGGGGCTGCTCCCCTCGCCCCCCAGTTTCCCCCAGGCCCTTCTCACTCATCTTGTTCTCAGGACCCACCATCCTCCCAGGTACCACGTTGGACCGCTCATGGCCCATTGATCCCCAAGTCCTATGCCACTGCCTCCTCTCTCCGTGTGGTCCCTTCTCTCCATCCCTATGTCCCCGGTCCCAGCTCAGACCTGCTCCTCTCCCACCTGGGCCATTACCCCAAACTCTTCCCCTTCTCTGTATCCTTCACTTGACCTCAGAGGCATCTTCCTGTGTCAGAGCTGACATTGCCTCTGTCTGGCTCACAGCCCTGGCCTGGGTCCCCCAGCATCCAGAGCAGTACTGGCCAAAAGAAATGTAATGCCAGGTACACATGCATTTTTTAAAAAATAAATTTATTTATTTTTGGCTGCATTGCGTCTTCATTGCTGCGTGCGGGCTTTCTCTAGTTGCGGCGAGCGGGGGCTACTCTTTGTTGCGGTGCACGGGCTTCTCATTGCGGTGGCTTCTCTTGTGGAGCACGGGCTCTAGGCTCTCGGGTTTCAGTAGCTGTGGCACGCGGGCTCAGTAGTTGTGGCACACGGGTTTTGTTGTTCCGCAGCATGTGGGATCTTCCCAGACCAGGGCTGGAACCCGTGTCCCCTGCATTGGCAGGCGGATTCTTAACCACCATGCCACCAGGGAAGTCCCCACATGCACTTTTAAATTTTCTAGTAGCCACAATTTTTTTTAAAAGTAAAAAAAAAAAACCCAAAAAACAAGAGTTCATTTTAACATCTCATTCAGCCCAATACATCCAAAACAATATTATTCCAATGTGAAATCAAAATACAATTTTATTTTTAAAGATTTATTATTTATTTATTTAATGTATTTTGGCTGCGTCGGGTCTTAGTTGCAGCACACGGGATCTTCACTGAGGCATGCAGGATCTTTTGTTGCGGCACGCGGGCTCTTCATTGTGGTGCGCGGGCTTCTCTCTAGTTGTGGCATTCGGGTTTTCTCTCTCTAGTTGTGGCGCCTGGGCTCCAGGTCGCATAGGCTCTGTAGCTGTGGTGCGCGGGCTCCAGAGCGCATGGGGTCTGTAGTTTGCAGCACAGGGCCTCTTGTTGAGGCGTGCGAGCTCAGTAGTTGTGGCCCATGGGCTCAGTTGCCCCGAGGCATGTGGGATACTGGCTCCCTGACCAGGGATCGAACCCACATTCCCTGCATTGCAAGGCAGACTCTTTACCACTGGACCACCAGGGACGTCCCCAAAATACAGTTTTAAAGAGGTGGTTTGCTTTCTTATTTTTTTGCATGATAAGTGCTCGGAATCCGATGTGTCTTTTACAATTACAGCACAACTCAGTTGGAGCTGCCACAGTTCACGAGTCAGGAGCCACCAAGGCAAGTGGCTGCCACATTCTCAGTGCAGCTCTACCCACTTGTCTTCTTGTGCTCCAGCCATGGAGATTACTTGAAACTTTCCTGAACCATTCCACGTCTTCTAACCTCTAGGCCTTCGCCTATGCTATTCCCACCTCCCAGAATGCTCTTCCCAGCTTCTCCTGGTAGCAACTTGTCCTTCAAGTCTTTGCTTAAACATTACCTCCTTCAGGAAGACTTCCCTGAACACCACCCAACTTCCAACCCTCTGCAGATGGGTTAGTCACTCTCATCTAAGATCCCACAGCAGGTGCCTCCTTCATGTCACGCTGGATGGTGACTGTCTGGATCCACACCCATCTCCCCCACTGGACCATGAGCTCCTTGAGCGTAGGCGCTGGTTCTCACTCACCTCTATGTCCCAAGCACCAGCACAGGACTCGGCCCAGAGGAAGCCTTAGCAAATGTTGACCAAATGACTAAATGACTTCATTCCTCCCGCTCCTGTTTTACACAAAAGAAAACTGAGGCTCAGAGAAAGGAATTTAATTGCTCAACCTCAAACACCCAGGAAACGGTGGAGCTGGAGTTGGAACTCAACTTCCAACATGGCGGTGGACATGGCGCATCTCTTGGGGCCCCCCTCTGTTTCCACCCTACAATAATACGGGATGGGTGGATTTGGGAGGAGTTATTGAGAGCCCTGTGGGAAAGGAGGGAGGTGGTAGGCAGTGGGGAGTGGAAGAACCTCTAACAGAGAGAATGAAGGCCCCAACTCTAGGCATTTGCCAGTGGCCTTCATGGGTTTGCCATCCCCACACGCCACGCATGCTTATTTATGGGATGCTTTTCTCCCAAGTGACATGCTCTGCAAAAGTCTTCAATACATAAAATGGTTTACAAGAAAACTTTACGGAAGTGTAAGCAGGAAAGAGAGCCAGAAGCCACAAACAATAAAAACCAACACTCAGGGGCTTCCCTGGCAGTCCAGTGGTTGACTCCACGCTTCCAATGCAGGGGACGCGGGTTCGATCCCTTGTTGGGCAACTAAGATCCCACATGCCATGTGGTACAGCCAAAAACAAACAAACAAACAAACAAAAAAAACCCAACACTCATTGCAGGCTTATTCTGTGTCAGACAATGTTCTAGCACTTTCTGAATATTAAACTTATACAATCTGCATAACAGCCCTGGGAAATAGGTGCTATTTCTTTCATTTCAAGGTTGAAGGAACGAGGGTGGGGAAGTGATGTGCTCAAAGGTGAATAGCTTGCAGCTGCCAGAACTGGCATTGGCACCCGAAAAGCGCAGTTTCTAGAGTCAGTGTCTTTAACTATTACGCTTTATCAGCTACCCAAAGAAAAATGAAGTTTTTTGTTTTTTTTGCGGTACGCGGGCCTCTCACTGTTGGGGCCTCTCCCGCTGCGGAGCACAGGCTCAGCGGCCATGGCTCACGGGCCCAGCCGCTCCGCGGCATGTGGGATCCTCCCGGACCGGGGCACGAACCCGCGTCTCCTGCATCGGCAGGCGGACTCTCAAGCACTGCGCCACCAGGGAAGCCCAAGGAAGTTGTTTTTAAAAAATTCAACAAGAGTATGCTCTCAAGTCATTGTAAACCGACCCACCCCCAGACGTGTACACAAGAGCTGCCAAGAGGCAGAGCCAGCTGTCTATAGGCTGACCTAGTGCAACCAGTGATGTTTTGCTACTTTTTAAACTTTTAGGTTGAATATGGATTTGGGGTGGCTTGCTGGAGAGAGGGGAAGTTGATGGAGCTTCATGAGGGCGGTGGCCAAATACTCTTGACATTCCTTAAACTTGACACAGATCCAGAGGCGGGAGGGGCTGGGGGCCTGGACTCCTGGGTCTGAGGGAGGAGGGGGCTTAGCTTCCTGTGCACAGGAACACCAGAGGAAGTTAAGAAATTCCACGGTGGCTACAGAATTCCTGCAATACGAAGGGTGGGAGAATAGGAGGCTAGGAGAGAGGGGAAGATGGTGGAGCTTCAGCAAGAGGAGAATGTTGACCAGTCGAGAATTCTGGGGGAGAAACTGGAAAGACAGGTAGGAGAGGTGAGTCCTGGGCATCGGAGAGGCTCCCTCTGTCAGCACCTTCTGAGGTATGGCTGCCCAGGAGACTTGGATGGCAGGAGTAGGGGCATGGCCAGGCTGAGTCACTGGGGCTCCTACCTCCACCCTTTCTGAGGCCCCTTCCCCACCTTCCTGAGGACAGGAGACCACCTACCTGGGTTCCCAGCCCCCAGCCTCCCCTGAGCCTCCCCTGGCATCCAGGAGGCTGGGGGGCTCACTTTTGGCGGGCCCCTGTGGGACCCAGGTGTCCTGTCTTCCTGCCGGCCCTATGCTTCCCCCAAACCTCCCTCTCTCCTAGTTTGTCACCCGTGAAACGCCCAGAGACACTCTCACACCCCTTTCCACCCTGAGAAAGAAGACATATCCTCTCTTT